ATCTTTCAGCTACCTATATAATCCTATGCAGGTTGCATTGTCCTGGCTTTCATGTTTTTAACGCTGGCTGCTGGTTCCGGGTGAGATTTGTCCAGGCTGGCTTTGCAGTATACATCACGTCCTGCATGTGACCAGGGCTGGATTTCCCACAAGGCCAACTAAGGCCCGGCCTTGGGGCAGCAGGGAGTAGAGGGGCAGCAGGGGTGCGGAATTCCTATCTCCCGATGCCCGGGTGGATAGTTGTTTTCTACATTCAGCCCGGGCTTTGGGCAAGCAGAGCTAAATGTACAGCGGGGAAGCCGCTGCTTGTTTTGTACAAGTGATCTTGGCGACGCTGTATGCAGCCTGCAGGTCTGCCATTCTCCATGGTGGTGGTGTTGGCAGGTAGGGGGGAGCATTGAGGAACCTGGCCTTGGGGCAGCAGAGAGAGTAAATACGGCTCTCCATGTGACGTGCACTCACCTTCAGGTGTATGGTGAAAATACAATGGGACCGGGAAGAGTTTTTATTCAGGATGTGCGATCCTATGATTCGGTTCGTCTCCCCCTAATGAATGAATGAAGAATAAAAAATTAAATCATTCATTTTCTGATCTTGCAGAGGATGACCTGTACATTATCAGGGTTATTCACAGAAGGGTGAAGAGTTTGGAGGAGGCAGGAGAAGTGAACAATCTAGGGGCCAAAATAGCTGATTTGGAAACATTCTCCAATTCAACTCACTTTCCAGTCCAGCGATGTTGTCCTAGATTTTTCACTTCTCCAAACTCTTCACCCTTTTGTGAATAGCCCTGTAAGTATCAATTGATGTGCAGGGGCTTGGTGAGAACCCATGCCTGAGCAAAACTGTCACTGTCACTGACACCCAGATGGCATTTTTAGACTGAAAATGACTATTTTTGTCCTCAGTTATTTACAAACACTGACTGATCAGTACTGATTGCTCGGTGTTTGTGCTCCGCTCTCCATCCTGACTGCTCTGCCCCCTCCCGCCTGTCCCCGGAGCCGAGCTCTCCTCCCTGCACAGCCCCCTGACTGGTCTCTCCTGCCCTCTGGGCACTAGCAGCTGGATCAGCTCTGTGTCCCCTCTGATGATCCTCACTGCCTCTGCTGACACAGGTGGAGGAGAGCAGCGGGGATCGGAGGGGACACAGTCCGGAGCTTGCAGCCGGTGTTCGCCACCCGCGCCATTTCCCTTTACACATACTACACAGCAAAAAAAGCGGGGCAACTCAGATTACTAACGTGCTGGATTAGTGTGACCCTAGTTCATTTTAATATTTTATTGCTGTGTAGTATCTGTATAGGGAAATACCGCGGGTGGCGAGCATGCAGTAGAGTCTTCTCGCCCAAACCCCTTAGTTCTAACTAAACCGGAAGTCAGGCAGTTGGAGAACTCAAGGAGTTGGATCTTTTGACAGAACACCGGCAGGGTGGGGAGTAGCTGACCATGCCCTGCATTTTTGTACTATCTGCATTTTGCCCATAGTACCATTTTCAGACAAAATTTCGGTGCATTCCTAACTGACACTTCCCCTCCCATCCCAATCAGTTGCGACTGGGACATTTCCCGCAGCTACAAAAACAAAGGGGCGGGGAATGCTCATAATGCGGGGAATGCCTCAACTGATTGGGCCGGGACAGGGGTGTGCCTGATAGTTTGGCACAGGCTTGGAAAACCTCAGGTGAACTGGGTTGACAGCGAGCCCCTGCTCATCCTTAGTGTCATGTTGCTACGGTGCACGGAGAGGAAGGTGTGTTTGTTTACTCCATGTATAGCCATCGGGGTGACAATTAGAATAAATGGCAACACTGTGTTGAATGCACATTACAAAAGCGTTTTTTCTTTCCATTTCTAAGTATCAAAAAGGGCAAGAATGTCAAGCTTTATTTACCCTCCACACGCTGCCCTCAGCTTCCTCCTCAGACCAACAACATCCTTCCTCAGACACTCTGATATTCTGCTTATTTCTTGTGGGCCCAGCCTGTCAATTACATGTCTCCCCAGGGAACGCATCGTAATGATTACATGCCTCCCCAAGGGCTTACATGCCTCCCCAAGGGATGCATCATACCCAATTATGTGCCTCCACTAGAGGATGCATAATACTGATTACATGCCTCCCCAGGGGATGCAACAAAACTCAAGCTGTGCTTACAGTACTCCAGGACTGAGCAGTGCTCACACGTCATTATGTGAGTCCTGGATAAATGCCTGCTCCTCACTGCCACTGGAAGAAGACGTCACTGTACTGACTTAAATAATATGTGACAAGCAAACACACATCAGGGAGTGCATCCGAGGGTGGGGGGGAGGCAGGTGACAGGGAGGGACTGAAGTGCCTGGAGTTATGCTTTAAATCGTGCATGAAAACACATGCATGGGGTGAATTGGCTCTTAAAGCGAGCATGGCACTCCGTGAAAGGTCCACATAATATAAAGGCACCTTTGCGGGGTGTGGTTGCTTGGGGTGGTGTTAGTTAAATATTTTTACCCCGGTTTCCATGCTACAGGGGTGAAGATAACACCCATCAGGTGATATGCCAGGGAAAATCATGTACTCTCATGTAATCTCACAAGATGATATTACAGCACAGTGCAGTGAGATTTGGGCTACTTGGCATCCCCCTGGATATCGCCTGTAGGGTGCCGACATCACCTTTGCCTGGTTTCATGGTATTTATCCATATCTGAGAGATCACTCCTGAGTAATGTTGGCCTTTTTCAAGGAGCAGCTGTGGAGAGTCACCGATAAAGCACAAACCCTGGTGCCGCCATCTTTACACAAGTCCCATTAGATGCTCTTGTGTCCAGATAAAGCTCATTCACAATATATATACAGTGTGTGTGTGTGTATGTATTAGGGATGCATCAATATAAGTGCCATTTTCTTGCCGATACATCGGCGCATCCCTGCTTTCTCTCCTCCCCGCTGGGCGCTGCTCTGTGTCCCAGCGGGGAGGAGAGAAAGTGACAGCCGGACGAGCTCTGCGGGAGGAGAGCGCTGTGAGCGGCCGGCGTCTCCTCCCACACAGCTCAGCCTCCTATCACAGTGCGGCAGAGCGGTGTGGGGGCGGAGACAGCTGAGGCTGAGCTCTCCTCTCCGCATCGCTCACTCAGCCTCCTGTGACAGCGTGTCAGAGAGGAGAGCGGGTACAAGCAGTCAGGGATCAGTGATCGCCGAGTGTTTGTAGATAATTGAGGGCAGAGTATAGTTACGATATCCTCAATTATGAATGAATGGGAAGTGATCTACATCCCCTCCTGTCCATTCATGATTGTGGATATAGTAAACATACTCTGTCCTCATGTTATGAATGAACAGGAACACTCAGTATAGAGGAGGAGAGAAACTTTGACAGCCGTCTGATCGCTGCGTGAGGCGAGCGGCTGGCGTCTCTCCTCCCACAACGCTCAGCCTCCTGTCACAGATCAGAGGGCGGAGACAGCCAGCGCTGTCACAGGAGGCTGAGCTCTCCTCCCTGCTCCACCTCCTGTGACAGCTGTCAGGATGGAGAGCGGGTACAAGCAGTCATGTGATCAGTGATCGCTGAGTGTTTGTACATAATTGAGGACAGAGTATGGTTACTATATCCTCAATTATGAATGAATGGGAAGTGATCTACATCCCCTCCTGTCCATTCATGATTGTGGATATAGTATACATACTCTGTCCTCATGTTATGAATGAACAGGAACACTCAGTATAGAGGATTCCTGATCATTGATAACAGGGGATACAGAAAAAGAGATTGAGGACGCTGTGTGTCTCTGAGGACTCTGCGTCTCTGAGGACTCTGTGCCCTCAATCTCTTTTTCTATTTTAAAAGGGAAATATCAGGGGTCTGTTTAGACCCCTAATATTTCCCCGAAGCCCCTAAAAGTAAAGTAAAAAATAAAAATACTTCATAAAAAATGAATAAATAAAAATAAATATAAAAAAATTTAAAAGTTTATAAAAGTTCCTCGCTGGAAACATGGTGGACGGATAAACCTTTAACGCACACCCCGTGTGGGTCATCGACTACGGTCATCTGTGTGTCGGCGACGGGCACCTCGGGTAACGTGGACAGGAGGTCAGACAGAGTCTCATTGTAGATCTCCAGGTAGGAAACCGTCACAGTCACCGATTTATCGCTCTGTTCTCCAATCTCTTTGAAGACCTGAGTG